TATATATATATAACGCTGTATAATTATTGTTTATAACGGCTATATAAAATTCAATTTACTAACTACTGTATAATTTTTTTTGAGTTTTTTCTTTTTAAAAACTTTGAGTTATTAAAAATGTTGGCCTAATACTGGGTTACACGCTTCCAATTTTAACAACGTACAGTACATTGTTTTCATAATAAATGTAGCCTCTGATAACCGGTGATGGAGTGGTTACTGAGATGGTTACGAAATGTACAAACAATTGCTTTTTTACTTAGTATTGGTGCGGAAATACGCACCGCAATTGGAACAGAGCACAAGTGAATGGACAATATTTATGACAGTCATTCATAATTGTTGTTCTTTCCACTCGTTTCGAAAAGTGGGGTTTTAACTACAGAAGATTGGTGAAAAGTGGGAGGGGGAAATTGATATGCAGGCCCGTAGGCAGGGGTGCAGAGGGTGCGGACGCCCCTCCCCCACAAATTCCAAAAGGTCCACTTTTTAAAACCTATGATTTCACAAAATCGTTTCTAATTATCACAAAATGCTATAGCATGCATTCCATTATATATTTGCCAGCTTATCTAACTATTGATTTTTAATAATGTGGTATGAAATTTGTTAGAAATTGATCGTCTCCGGTGATTGCAGACTGATCTATATAATAATATGAAGAATGTTATCTATAGGCTTGTAGATGTACAACGTTACTTTTTCAGGTCCCAAAAACACCCAAATTAATGAAAATTTAAATGAAATATTCATGAATTATGTGTTTGAGAAATATGTAAGACCCTCAAAATGCTACTTTGTCGCTTTTCTCACAAACCCCCTACAGGCCTCTGCCCCTGGACCACCAAATTTCAAAAAGTCCACTTTTTAAAACCTATTATTTCACTAAAATTGTTCCTAATTATCGCGAAATGCTATAGTATGCAATACATTTTTTTGCCTGCTCTTCTACCCATTGATTTTTAATAATGTGTTATTAAATCTGTTGGAAATTATCAGCCCAGTGTATGGAAGGCAATCACCGCCAAAAATACAATTTTAGACAAAAAACATCGTTTGGCAATATACGTTGTTTGTTTTAAAAAGAACGTTCTTTGTTTGTAAAAGTATGCTGTTTATTTTTAAAAATACATTGTTTATTTGTAAATGTACGTTGTTTGTTTGAGAAAGCACGTTTATTGTCTAAAATTGTATTTTTGGCGGTGATTGCCTTCCATACCAGTAATTGTAGGCCTATAGATGTAAACGACATGAAAAATTATAATTTCACAGTGGTGGATTCAAGGGAGAAGAGCCCCCTAAAATTATAAAACAAATGGAGAAAAAAGGAAAATCATTATTAAAATTTGTCTAAGAGTACCATCATTTTCCGGCCACTTTGAGGTGCCGTAATTATAAATTTTCTTACCTCAGCCCCCCCAACCATGGTGGGGCTGAGGTGGTATTGACCATCTGTCTGTGCAAGTTTCTCCCTTCACCCCACCCTCTATTTCTCCTGCTTTACTGTAGGTCCATAGACAATACTCAAATGAATGAAAATTTAAATAGGATATTACAAATTATGGATTTTAGAAATCCATTAAAAAGGCCCTCTGCTAATTTGGCAGAGCTTCCAGAAGATCCGTATGATTTTAACATATCATTGAAAATATCATATATAATCATATTTACCTAACTTTGGAATTAATTAATCAGTGACGTGCTGTATTATTTCGAGAAGATAAAGTAAGGACGATTCTTTATTTTTTTCCCGTTACGATTATCTTTTTGTTTTGAAAGTCTATCATCTAGGCCTATACCTAGTTAGTTGCTAGCAGCCTCCTCTATATAGCATGAGGCTCCTAAGAGTCAACACTGCAGAGGAAAAATGTTGGTTGTGCAAACAGAGTAGGTTTGTGAATCGTCGGCGATAATATGTTAATTTCGCCTGTAAATGAATGATAAAAATATTAATAACATGAAAGTTTTATAATTGTATTCTAGGACTTTAGGCCTATGACTTCGTAAACTTTAATTTATGAAATAATATGCTGGTCATCTTCAAACCAATACAAATAGCCTAGGCCTATTTGTAAATTGTAATCTAAACAATAAATCAAAGTTGAAGAATTATTGCATTGAGAGAAATGTTTGTACAACATAATATGCCTAATCATTCATAATCAAGAAGCTAGGCCTTGTTAGTAAAATAGCAGCATTCTCCACACTTCTGTTTATAATATTAGTGAGTTATAATATTATCATTATTACTGTATTATTATTTATTATTATTATTATTATTATTATTATTATTATTATTATTAT